AGCACCAAATTGCAAATAATCTATAACTACTGTCACTTTTCACATTGAACATGTGCTCTTTTATTAAATAAACTAAACGCTTTCATTTTAAGTTGTGAGTTTAGTGTTTTTGACCCTAAGAAACACTGATGCAATAATCAATAACAATAATCCACAGCTCCTCTCTCTGCTCCAGAGGATTTAAAAAATATATATCCCAATGCCACAAAGATGCATCAGTGACGTGGTTGAAATCTTGTCTCCAGAAAACAAAAAACTGAAACAAGCGTTATCAGTGACTGTGTGTTTGATGTGGCTCTTTGCAGTAACATAGAAAAAATGTGGCTCTTAACCTCTGACTGGTTGGCCACCCCTGCTTTAGATGGTCCGGACCAAATTTGAATTGGATCAGACTCAAAACCAAACAGTGCTGTTTCTTTTCCTTGGATCTGGCGCAGTAACATCTTTAAAAAGTACAGTAGGCCTACTTATTAAAGTAAACTGTTTACTGTTTTAAATATTTGTTAAATAATCACAATTTTGACTTGAATCTAGCGATAGAGACCGTAAACTTATAAAGAAAATGTTTGCTGGAAGTGATACTGAGTTAATGAAGTGATAAGAAGACCATTTTCTCGTTAACTTCTATAAAAGCTGATTATGTTCAAGCAGAGGAGACGCCCCCTCTTGGATATTAGAGAGAATGCAAGTTTAAGGCACTTGCAGGAAAAGATCCAAAAGATAATGATTCACTTCATAAACACATATCAAAAATAATAACTGCAATTTAAGGGTAATAATGTGTTGCTGTATATCAAGAAAGTCATCACAGGATTATAATTCAGACACATTTTAGATTGCACACAGTCATTGTTAGTATTACAATTGATTAGTTGTAGTTTTTACAAAAGATTTCCACTGTAACTCCGTAACATGCACACCCTTCGTCGCCAGCTCGGTCTGAAATGGAAAATAGAAAATAAAGAAATTAAAAGCAAAGCTCACAATATTATTTATTTTCAGGAAAATGTGCAACAAATTAAGGAAAATAATAATAAAAATAAATGTTTGACTTTAATCTGACATGCCTATTGTTGAATTGTCTTAGTATGGTAGTTGCATAAACAGAAATGAAATATTATGCAGGAATGTCTGTCGTTCAAATCTCGTAATTCAATCTCAATTAAAGTTTAAAAATAAGGGAATTGGACGATCCTTCTTAATGGCAGAGCAGAATAACATGATACGATTTAAATAAGGTCACCTGGATGCAAAAATAAGGCTGCTGCATACTTTTTTTTTTACAGTATGTTGCCTATTGCAACTGCAGAATACACATAATTGGGAACAAACGTCTTACATCTTGAACTTTAACCCTCTTTCTCATTTATCCATCGCAATTTGTGCTGCAACATTTAAAGCTCACCTATTATACTATATTTGACCAATATATTATAGGGCCATATCCAGTGGCGTTTCTAGGTGTACAAAACTGGGGGGGCAGAAAGAGGTCCGGGGAGAGAGAGAGAGAGAGAGAGAGAGAGAGAGAGAGGGGGGACAGAGAGAGGGAGGAGAGAGAGAGGGGGGACAGAGAGAGGGGGGGAGGAGAGAGAGAGGGGGAGTGTCAAATTACATACTGAAGACCACAGGAGCAACACTGTGAGCGCATACATTTACGTACACAGCGTGGGGATGTCATAGTAATGCACCTTCATACATGGAGTAAAGGTCACCATCACAAAGTAATTCTTAACAATAACAACAACCGTAATGCTTTAGCATTAAAACACCATAGACTGTAAATATAAGGAAAACACAGACACTCATCATCGAGGTCACAATATCAATCGATCCAGCAGAGGCAAAACACAGAAGATCAACAAAATATATGACATAAATGAACTTACCAAAGCTGAAGGCTCACTTGAAAAGAAAAGCGGCACGGCGGTCCTTCCTCTGACAGAATGTGTCTATCACTTTGGGGATGAAGTCCTGTAGTTGCTGGATCAACTGGCTTTCAATTGAAAGCATGGCCAATGCGTTAAGTCGCGGCTGTCCCATGGTGTTGCGAGTGAAAGTCTTTATCCTTTTGAGGGTGGAAAAGTTCCTCTCTGACTCGGATGTCGTCATCGGAGTTGTCACTATTATTTTGACCAAAATAACAGTCTCAGCAAACGTTTCCTCCAAGTTGTTCTCGTGAATGGATTTCAACAGAGACAGGGCAGTGTTTCCAGTGTGAAGCTCACTGTGGCGGTAGAGCGTGGTCAGCTCAGACTTCAACTTCTCCTTGTTTCCCAACGCAGGCCACAGTTTCACGGCGCAGTCAAGCTCAGGTGTAGGAAATGACAGGACATGCTGTGGGAAGAATGAGCTGTCAACAAGCTTTGCCGCGATCAAATGGTCACTCTGTGAGAACCTCTGTTCCACCTGTGAGATGACTGTGTCACAAGCCTCCTTCATCACCGGCGCTGTGCTGCTGACTCGTCGGCCTGGCTCGTCTGTTCCATCATGAGCAGTGGCGGCCAATGCATCAGTTTTCTGCCTCATTTTCTGAACATTTTCCTTGAAACGGCAGAGCGCGCTGTTGATCCCAGGTGCATCGATGCTTCGTTTTTGCAGAGTGTTGTATAGAACATCCACTTCTGGCATAAGCAACGAAAAAAACTCCAGGAGCTGCATAAATGCTCGGTCCCGCAGTTTCTTTGACAGGCCGTATGCCTCACTTATGGTGACCGCATCCCATCCTGGTTGTGCGCGTATATGCTTCATACACTGAAGTAGTGCATCTCGGGTCTCCCAAACCGCGTTCACAGTTCTGCTTTTAAAGTTCCATCTCACAGCCGGTGGCCGTGGGATGCGTCTCTGTGTTTTGCCTCTGCAAGAGCTGCAACACGTTTTGGAGCACCGGAGAAAAAAGTGGAAAAAGCAGTTAGATCTGCAAAAAACACCTTCAGGATGCTCATCCTTGCTGAACACAGTTGCTGCAGGGTCAGGTTCAGTTGGTGGGCGTAGCAGTGAACAAACTGAGCGTTTGGGTACGTCTCCTTCATCACCGTCTGTACCCCGCGCACGTTACCGCTCATGACGGCCGCCCCGTCATAGGTCTGAGCGATTAGCTTTTCTTTCAGCTTCAGGGGTTCCAGAACAGCCTTGATGCTGTTAGAGAGACCTACACCAGTTTTGTCCTTTACTTCCACAAACTCCAAAAAACGCTCTGTAACTGTGAGGTCAGGCATAATGTATCGCAGCACAATCACCATTTGCGATTTACAGGAGACATCGGTTGTCTCGTCGGCCTGAACGGCAACAAATGATGTGTTGTCCACTTGCTTGGCTATTTCCTCCCTGTACACATCATACATGCAGTCCAAGAGTTCATTCTGTATGGTGCTTGATGTCCCTTTGAAAACAAGCTGAGCTTCGTAGTGCCGTTGAAGCCTGGAATCGCCCTCACACATTGTCTCGAAAATTGACCTGAATATCCCTGGATTCAGAGAGTCCGCCGACTCGTTGTGGCCCCGCAGTGCTGTCTCACATTTCCCACACAGTTTAATACAGGTGATGATCCGACCAAGCACGTACCTGTTTTCTTCCACCTTCCTATTATGAGAATCAATGCCGCGTCTGTAGGCGCTGTCAATCTGAGCTGCAACATTCACCCTTCCAAGTAATCCCAATTTTACGGCATTTTCCAAATGACTGTTGCTGCTCTCATGCTTCATTGTCCTCTCCGAAAGATGCTTTAAGTCCTTGTAACCTGTCCTCGACCAAGTACCTTGATCTTCACCAAAAAGCAGGCAAGGAAAGCAAAAGAGGGAATTCTTCTGGATGCTCGCCGTTAGCCATTTCTTTTTAGCAAACCACTCAGCGTTAAACCCACGTTTAACTTTGCCCGCAGTCTGGACCATTTGGAAATCCGGTGGATGGTGGGCACCGAGGCGCTTTACCTCCAGTTTCTCTCCGAGACTAAGTGTCTCAAATGTGTGCTCCAGTAAATGGTCAACTTCATTCATTTTCTTTCAGTTTTTTACTTCTTTTAATCGCTGGTGATGTTAGCTATATGCTGCTCTCTCGTCTCCTCTTCAAACTACACGTGACGTTTCGCAGCACTGCACACGTGAGTACTTACAGCCAATCAATTCTGAATTATGTGAGATGACGTATGGTGGGGATGGGAGCACTATGCCCCTACGGTCATTATTTTTTTGCCACACACATTAAATAGAAAAATACTCTGACGATGCGCAGTGTAGTTTTTACAATCACCGTTCACTTAGACTGTGAGAGGGAGGGGCAGGATTGGGTTTTGTCCCACATGGCTCTAAACAGCTCAAAACGGCACTCTAGACACTAATTAGAAGAACACAGACTAAAACAGAAATGTACAGACGAATTAGATTATTAAACATGACCTTAAAATATATTTTATATATTTTTTTATTTATTTTTTAGTATTTTTTTGTAATCATTATTTGTAATACTTTCTTCTGACACTAGGTGGGGCTGTGCCCCACCTGCCCCTAATGACCAGCCGCCACTGGCCATATCTATACACAACATGTCTATGAAGTGTTTTGCTCAAAATACCTATCACCCATGTTTTTTACATCTGGCTTTTTTACACATTCTCTCCAGTACAGCGTTAGCTCTGAGTGTTAGCGATGCTTGCTAATGTAAACACAGACCATATTACTTCCAAAACACGTCGTGCATTGTTTCTGAAACAGCGACGTTTCTGATTGGGCCGTGGGTGTAAAGCCAGCCCACATTTTAGTAATGTCATCATGACCATAGCAAATCTGGATCATTTCCGTTGTTCCCCCGTTTTTAGAGATGTGGGTAAGGAGGAACAGAGAGAAGATTGTATTTTCTGATACTTTGTGAGTCTCCTTACACACCGGGGACACATATTTATGTATGAAAGACTTTAAAAAGACACTGTTACGGCCACAGCTTCTACACAGCTGTAGTGGCTCGCGCTGAGTCCCGCAACATGAAAATACACGCAACAATCAGTGAACTTAGTATCGACCATTTATTTTTATTGAGCTGTCTTCTTACAAAAGCCAAACTAGAGATGAAAAAAAGGTCTGGAGGACTGGCCAAAAAGAACAAAAGGAAGGAGGGAGCTCGAGCCAGCCACACCATGGGCCGTAGGACCCAGAGCTCCCCCCTAACTAAAAGGCAGGTGTAAACCCAATGGAAACAAAAAAAGCTGTGAAAACTGGACTACCTGGTCCTCCAGGCTAAATATAATCAAGTCTACAAGACACACTATCGCTCAAGCCCAACTACACAAAAAGGGTCTTCAGAGTAGAGTGTTTCCCGGCGTCAGAAAAGGCGATACATCCTTCTCCTCCAGCTTCTCTATCCTTGATTGAGTGGAATTTGGAACACCTGGGCAGAGGCGGAGCCAGGGGCAGATTAGGTGCACCTGCGCCATATAGGGAGAGAGAAAGAAGACAAGAAGGGGAGCACATAACACACACATCAATTGTAGACAAAAGATTCAACACCACACATAAATTACTTTGCTTAAATAATAATAATGATAATTCATTACATTTTTATTAGAGCGCTTTTCCATGTGCTCAAAGCGTTTTAAAATACATATTACACATATTAGACATGTAACAGTTATTACTGTGGACAATACCCACAGGAGCCAATTAGGGTCAAGTGTCTAGACCACGCATGGGCAAACTAAGGCCCGCGGGCCACATACGGCCCGTTCGACTTTTTAATCCGGCCCGCCGAATATTGGTACAAAATTGTCCAAATTATAGTAATGACCGCATTAATTTTGCCTTTTTCCTGCAACCCCGTAATTTCAGTTTATTCCACTAGATGGCGCAATTGACCACTCGGCAACCCGGCAGGATCTAAGAACCGCATACGTCACCCTTACAATGGAGGAAATTGAGATTAACCTGAGCAATCATGGCGAGAACAGCGAATACAAATTGTAACAAGTAGTAGCGCTGAGCAAAGCGACTAAAACGCGACCACACACTTATAAAAAACACTTATATAAAGTCAGGCAACACTAACCAGCTTAGATTCTGTTTATTTTACCTTACTTTAATGACCATCCGTTCACCGTTATTGACAATTGTGAAGAGGCAGATGTTTTCCTGTTTTGTATTATTGCAGCTATCGGATGGAATCAATACATGGGCTACATGTGGCCATCACAAGTAAAATCATAACGAAAACTACACCGGTAAAATGTGCCGATTTATGCCACAATATGATATCAACAAGTAGCCTAGTCAATATAGTCTGATTAGCTTCGGTTGCTATGCTAACACCACCTGTAGAATGTCAGAGAAACAGCGTTGTGATGCCAAACAGCATCAATTCAGACTGACACACATTCACTGATGGGGATGGGGAATATTTCTCAGCTGCTTGTGTGACAGTCGGACAGCGAATACTTTCCAGCGGCCGCTGCTGTGAGTTAACGGGAGAATAATCTCCGGTGGACGAGCCGCGCTCCAGCGGGCGGTAATGCCACTGAAACACATTAATAAACAATGCACCATGGCACTCTGGAGAAAGGTATAAGGCTGGAGAAGTAGTTATTTAATTTAATCTGGCTTTGTATGATTAAAAACTACCCGACGCAGTCCTCTATTGATGTTGTGAGCGGTGTTGCGGAGAAAATCAGCGACGTAAAACGCAGTTTGGGTCTTAAGAACTGTATGTCATCGAGAGGCTGAAGCTACCTTGGAGTAAACTTGCCAATGTCACCACAGATGGATCGCCAAACTTAACAGGAAAAAAAGTCGGGCTGCTGAAAAGAATCCAGGATAAGGTGAAAGAGGAAAATCCTGAGCTGGATGTCATTTTCCTGCACTGCATAATCCACCAGGAAGCCCTGTGTAAATCTGTATTGCAACTTGATCATGTTGTGGAGCCAGTCATAAAACTCGTTAACTGTATACGAGCGAGGGAACTTCAGCATCGTCAATTTATTAAGTTCCTTGAGGAAACGGATGCTGATCACCAGGACTTGCTTTATCATTCTCATGTCCGCTGGTTAAGTTTGGGGAAAGTATGTCGACGAGTGTGGGAGTTTAAAGGGGAGATTAGCTCATTTTTGGAGTTAATCGGGAAAGCTGACGATTTTCCAGAGCTAAAAAAAATCGAAAAGTCACTTCAGCTGGTTTCATGTCCCCTGTCACAAGACTGTGAAACAGCGCCGCAGGAGTTGCAATTGGAACTGATTGATCTTCAATGTGACTCCGTCTTAAAGGAGAAGTTCAACTCCCTCAAACTGGAGGAGTTTTATGCTTCACTAAGCGAAGCCAAGTTTCCAAACATTAGGAGGATGCCACAGAGGATGCTGGTGTTGTTTGGCTCTACCTACGTGTGTGAGCAGATGTTCAGCGTGATGAACATCAACAAATCACGTCACAGATCCCATTTAACTGATGAACACCTCAGATATGTCCTGAGAATTGCCACAACCAAACTGACACCAAACTTTGATGCACTGGCAAAAAAGGGTGACCAACAATACTGTTCCCACTGAAATGAAATGTAAGTTTTCTTAACTTTTTCAGGTAATGGCTTTTACTTGTAATTTGTATTTGTTCACACAAACACTCTCCATCCATCTGCTACTGGCCCGGCCCGCCTGTCAAATTTTAAAACTCATAGTGGCCCCCGAGCCTAAAAGTTTGCCCACCCCTGGTCTAGACCCTAATTTGACACAGTGGCGGCAAAGGCGGGTTTCGTACTGGTGTTCCCAACGCCTCTTGATCTGATGGTCAATGCTCTCTAGCCCACTGAGCCAAAACCACCACCAAAATGCCCGATTATTTCCCATTCCCTATATTGATGACCAACAGCCAATTATTAGCTATCAAACTTTGGTTTCAGATTAGCAAACAATTCCCTAAATGTAACAACAAATGTAATACGAACTCAGAAATGAAAAGTTAATTAAAATAATATTACGAATTGTTTAACAATATTTAAAAATCCCCCCCTAAAAACTCACGGAACGTTTTTAAGTATAGAGGAACATCGTATCTTCCCTTGAAAACAAGTTATTAATCCAAAAGACATTCTTAAGATTGGCAACTGTATAGTTAACATTTAAGTATTACTCTGCATAACCATCATTTGCAGTTGGCCGAGTAGAGATGCGTGGAGATTCTTGAACAGAGAGTGGGATATCCTCTTCAGAGTTCTTCGGTGTTGGTGCAACTATGGTGGTGATGCCGTCTATTTGTGACACTTCTTCTTCACAAATTTCCTTCAGAGGTGGCTCATTGTTCCACCCTTTGCTTCTGGCAAATATATAAACATACTCCATGAGATTAGGAAACATCATCAACAGATCCATTTCTGCTGCCTCCTTGGGACTGAAAAACAGAGAAATAAAACTGTATTAAAAAACCTCTCTGACATTCGTCTGCAATTGGCCAGTGGTTCCTATATTTTTGCCTGCGGCCTATTGAAAAGAACTGAAAGCTGAAGTGAACTGAAAAGTTACATCGGGAAAAACATTCAGAAACTCTTATCATAAAGAAATACTTCCTTTATCCTGAATGTTAGAAGGAATATTACTTGTCAAATGACCTGCTCCCAGTTTACTGAGCATCATTTTGCACTTCCTGCCCTCACACCAGTAAAATGAAGGTGTATTTTTTTTAGGAAAATTTGTCCTAGTGTAAAATCAATTTAAAAAAATATATATTCCTTCCAGCAAAAGAAGAGCTTGAGTAATAAGTAAGAAAATATGATGATGAGGATAGGATTAAGGCCCCTAATGATTTATAATTCAGTTTGACTTACTAGTGCTCATGGAGGTTTCGTATGAAGCGCAATAATCCCAACGTGTTTTCTGGGTAGCATTTCTTCTTGCCATCCATCTTGTCCAGCAACTCCTGTGGAGACTGATGAAAAATATATAGTTAGTTAGTTAAAAGGTGGAGTTCAGTAATACAAAATAGTGGGTTATCAAATAAAGAATAAGTGTTATGGTATGGTCTGTTGTGTACCGTCAAAAGTGTTGAGTCAGTCACGTTTCATGTTTGTAGTGGCCAATTGTCCAAAGAAAATTAATGTTCAAAGGCCACGTAATCTAGGAGGCGAGTTTGAGTATTGACTCGCATATATTCAAGAAATCAGATACCTTGCTCATTCCATTCAGGTGCTTTATTGAGAGGTTCAATAGATCAGCTGGCGGCCCACTGCCGACGTGCAACATTTGCACGGTATTTAAACAAATAAACAAACAAGATCCCTCGGTCATACGGATGTGCGGTCAAAAACTTTTTTCAACTTCCTCTCCAGACTTCCTGCTGTGTCATGCTGGCAGCGTCATTTATACCTGAGCACGCCCCTACGATTGCTTTCTATAAATAATAACAAAACATAAACTAGAGCTGTCAATAAGCTAGATAACACGTTACAAAAACAGTATAATAATAATTCATAGTTATTCAGCTAATTTAAGTTAAATTAAAGAATATTCAATTGGCTCACAAAACCATAATTCATTACCATAAAATAATGTGCCTAAATGGCTCTTACAATGTTGTTGTTCAGTCAATTATTGTATTGTCTCCCACTTCCTGTTTTGTTTTGACACTCAACTGTTACGTTTCGTTCCAGGTTCCTTGACTCCCTACCATTGTGTGTGTCTCCCGTGCTCATCAGCCCCGCCCCTGATTGTTTCCACCTGTGCCCAGTTACCTCTTGCTTAAATTCTCCAGTCTCCCCTTGTTTTTTGTCAGTTCGTCTTGTACCGTCCTCATGCCAGTACTCTGCTCACCAGCGAATGCTTCTTGTCTCAAGCCTGATTTATGCTCCTGAAACTTTTTGTAAGTTTTGTTCCTTACGTTGTTAGCGATATTTGTTGTGCCTTATTGGAGCCTTTTTTGTCACCTCGTTAAGAGTGTCCGTTTTCTTTTTGTATACCTTTTCTGGAAAATAAAGTATATTACTTATACTTTACCGTGAATTTGAGTCCTTTTCCCTTAAGTATCCAAGTTCGTGACATGGTCACCGTATGTTTCCACCCGTTAAAGGCTCCATCCCCAGCACACTTATCCAGTGAAGAAATGAATTCCTGGTCAGCATCTTTATATCTTGCCACCTCATCATTGCAGTTTCCAATCGTCATCAAGTATTTTACTTTCCTGAAAAATCAAATGTATGTTTAGGGAGAAATCTTTGAATGTCTATTTTCGACAAAGGACAGTGTAGATAGATACAGACTGTTAGTTAGAGAGAGAGAGCGATACATATTAGTATGATGTGCAACAAATGTTCCATGGCTGGAAATGAACCGGGCTTGCCTTTACTTGGCATGAACTGTAATCATTTGGCTAACACTTTACTCCTGGGGCTACATCTTTGACAAAATAAAAGCAACTCAAACCTTTTTGTAATACTGTCTTGTTTAAAAAAGCTGACATTCTACACACTTGGGGAATATGTCAATAACAGCAGTTGATGACAAAATCAGATATGACTTTAAGGAATATCATATGATTTAAATGTTTTAATGTATTATTTGATTTTGACTAATCATGCTAGCTGCTCTTTGGGTGGTTAGGCGGCCAGTCCACCATCTTGGTTCAGACTGAAATATCTCATCTATTGGATGGATTGCTATGAAAGTAAGTACAAAAATGATTGATGAACATTTACTTTTCTCTAGTGCCATCATTAATTTACAATTTGAATTGGTTCTATACTAGGTTTCTGAGAGAAAACCATGTGATTTGTAAGAAGTGGACGTAGTTAACGAGACGTAGCATTAATGTGCCGATTAGAACAGACTCACTTGCTGAAGACATTAAGTCTTGTTAACGCTATCCAATAAAATAAACAAATAATAGATAATCTGTTATTTAATCAATTGTTCATGATACATGGGATTGTACCTGGAATGTTTCCAGAGGAAGGCATGATTCAAGCATTCTTCCACTTTAGGTCTTTTCTCTGGTTCTGCATCAATCATCCACTTAATGAGGTCTTTTGCCAACACGTCTTGAACATGGTCCAAAGTGTAGATCCCTTTAACAATGTTGTATTCAAATTCAAAGGATTCTTCTCCAAAAGGATGGTGTCTTCCAGAGAGGATATAATAAATCAGCATCCCTGCCACCTTAAGAATAAACATAACATTGAAGCAATTCAGAAAGTGTATGTACACACGGTTATCAATAACATTAGTTTATCAGAAAAAACTGACCTGTATGTCAGAGCTTGACTTGTACGGTATCTTGGTTTCGTCTTTTTCTGATAAAGTTTCCTTGGCCATCCAACGTCTTGTTCCGTCTTTTCCTGTGCGGTAAGTTGTTTGGTCTTTGGGTAACCGTCTACTGATGCCAAAATCAGCCAGTCGCGCCCTCCCTTTAACATCTGAAAGACAAATCAGGTAGACAAACTCATCAATACAATTATGTTTTATAATTATGAATTCAAATCATTTTCTTTTTTTTTGGTCAATTTATTGAACATGTCAGAAACAAAACAATAGTCTCTGTCATGTTCAATAGGGGCAAGAAGAAGCTTAAAAACAACTTTTATGGTCCTACCTCCTCTAGCGTATATTTTAAAAGATTAGGTCATCGTCATCAGCGTCATGTGCGTGATGTTGTAAACAAATAATTTGTTTACAAAACAATCAAAAATAAATAACTTTTACAATTATAACAATTTAATTTGTATTTTGTATTGGAAACGTATCTTACCGATCAGAACATTCTGTGGTTTGAGGTCCCGGTGGAGAATGGGATGATCTTGACAATGAAGAACCCTTAAACCCTTGAGAACCTGACGGACAATTGTCTTTCTCTGCATATCATCATCATGAGTTTTAATGTATTCTTCCAAGGTGTATTCACAAAGTTGAAGACCAAGATATCCAAAGTTTTCATCCTCTGCAAAGCCCATGTATCTCACAATGGATCGATGATCAAGCTCTGGAAGTCGTAGAAATCCTATCTCATTCTTCAGCACTTCAAAGTTGCATCTGGGCATTTTCTTAATGGCAATTTCAGTGCCATCATCTCTCAGCCCCAAAAACACTTCAGTACCAATATTTACCATTGATATGCGGAATTCATCTTTATTCACGTACTTCATGCTCCCATTCCCAATTCTGGTTAGTTTCCCTTCCGTAAGCTTCTGATACTTTTTGTTCCACTTACGGCTGATTGGATGCCATTTGGGTTTGACATATGATTCTTCCAGATTTTTAAGAATTTTCATCCCTAAGATATAACCAGCATGTGCAACTGAATGTACAATTTTAAATATAATATGATAATTATAAATTAAGAAAAAAATACGAAAATCAAAATCAAAAGGAGCAATCGTCTTGCGAACCTCCTCATTACATTTGGGATCCCAGTCTGTGGTGCCTCTTGTTCTCCGTGTTATCATAACTAATTCTTCCAGAATGCCTTTATAGTCAGTTTGCTCTTGTGAACAAAGCTGTCCCAGTAGTAGGGTGATTTTAGCAGAAGCTTGCTCCATTTGTAACTGTGGGATGATATTAACTTCCTTGCTTCGCAGTATCTGTGGGAAGACAAAAACATGATGTTGAAACATATGTTGCCAGAAAAAACTTTAGTTATAGAGCACTTACAAAAACTGTTCTATCACTATGGCAACTATTGATGAGTTTGAAGCATTTTTTGGTAACAAATTGTGAAACATGGAATAATAATAATAATACATGGGACTTTTATAGCGCTTTTCATGAAACTCAAAGATGCTTAAATCCCATCCAATCCAATCCAATGTAATGTTACACTTGGTCATTAGCAAGCATATTTTATGTTCTTTAAATATATTAAACATGAACTATTTATGTTTTAAAGGAGTAAATAAAGATGAACTCGGTTGGTGGCTTGATATAGTCCACGTTTTAGCTCTTGACAGATTTTTTAATATTGGTGTATGACTATAATCAACAGGAATAGAAAAGTCTAAAGAGTTTAAAACTCGGGCAACTCTTGTAATAAAGACCAACTTATTGTTATCGACCAAAGGGCCTGGCTTGTGGTCTTCATTAGGGTTATTAAGAAACACATACAATGAACGTTTCAAGAAGAAATGAAGCAAATAATTACAAGGTTAAAGACATCCAGATAAACCATACACATATTAGCCAATGGGGCAGCCACACGTAGATGTGGTTGGTATGTGATCATGTGACTTCAGGTAAATTACATTTCAAAACAGGCAGAAGAAATGGGTGCGCCTAATACCTGTGTTATGACACATCTCATCTTTCTTTCTTTACATATTAAAGTGAAGCCAAAGAGACTGTCATGTACATTTTGTCAGGTAAAAGAGAATATTTTTTGATTTCTAATAAGGAAAGTTAATAGGCAGAAACAAAGTTAGAGACGGTTTGATATCCCTGCCAGTATAACTGATTAGGAATATCAAAAATGCTGAAAACACTACAGTCCTTGTCCAGAAAGGTGGTGTTACCAAGAAACATATGTTGCCATAAAAAACTTCAGTTATAGAGCACTTACACAAACTGTTCTGTCACTATGGCAACTATTTATGAGTTTGAAGCATTTTTTGGTATCAAATTGTGAAACATGGAATCCCATCCAATGTATTGTTATACTTGGTCCTTAGTAAGCATATTTTATCTTCTTCAAATATATTAAACATGAACTATTTATGTTTTAAAGGAGTAATAAAGATGAACTCGGTTGGTGGCTAGATATAGCCCAGGTCAAAGAGAATATTTGTTGATTTCTAATACGAGGAGTTAATAGGCAGAAACAAAGTTAGTCAAGGTTTGCTATCCCTGCCAGTACAACTGATTTAGGAATATGTTATTAGGAATATCAAAAATGCTGAAAACACTACAGTCCTTGTCCAAAGACTCTTGATCAAGGGGAATAAAACGTTGACCAAGGCTGATGCAATCTCATCTTAAACCGATCCAGTTATAATTCTGCTGACATGATCGTGTCTTCAGGTTATAACCACATGCACACACATTTTATGTTTCCGGTAACACAATACAAACTAAAATATTAAGTCCAAAAAGCATTACATATGGAGTTTTTGGAGAAACAAATGGAGATCATAGCCATTGTTCCTAGTCCCTCATTCTGGTTTGCAACTATTGCTTAACTTTCTGTAGTTCAGAGCTCTACTCAGACTTTAGGGAGAGTACAAAGAAGAGTAGAAAAAACTACTCACAAAGTTTAAGTATGATGTCTTCTTTGAGTCTTTAAAATTATTGATCTCTCCAGACTCAACCGCTCGATCTATTTTGTCGTTTGAAATGAGGAAGTTCTGAGCACAACAGTCCCTCGTCGATTGTATTTGTTCTCCTTCCTGCCCCTCCAGTCACGTGCACCAAAACATTTTTGCCCGGGCATGTTTAACCAATAAGGACCCACCGTGACACAGGTGTTACATGACATTTAAATGTTCTGGAAAGTTCCTTATACAGCTTTAGCCTTGTTTTTGTCTCATGAATTCCCTAAGTGACACGGGCCAGGTCAGTCGATTAAGTGTTCCCATAACAACATGTCCAAGATGTCCATGTGCCAGACTAACACATGTGACAGAACTAGCTACATTTCAGAAGCTTGTTTTTTGTTGCTAAAGGTAAAATTCAAGCCATTTAAGAATTTCAATGCTTACATAACATGTCCTTTATAACATTTAACCTGTTGTGGAAACATGTCTTGATCAAGTTGATATGAAACACATGAGATACATATCGCTGTGACACTAATGTCACATCGGGACATTAACCTTAAACTTTCAGAGTCAATCTGGAGTAACACGTGTCACAATTAGAAATATTATTATGATCTGCTCAGTTAATTTAGCTGATTCAATGATATTTAGTTAATACAATCTTAATTCTTCAATTCAAAGAATGTTCAAACTAATTTTAAACAAAAAATCATCCTCATTAATTTATTATAAATAAGAGTTACCGGTACTTTACCATTAAAGCCCAATGTGACATATACTGTATATCAGTTTTCAGATCTGTGACACTGGGGGGTAGGTTTTTAAACTCACTGCCACTTGTCTTATTTACTACATATTATGGGGGTGAAACAGAGCTGCAGGGTTAACATCATCGTATATGGTAAAAATCACACACACACACACACACACACACACACACACACACACACACACACACACACGATTTGCACAAAGGATTACATGTTGTTAGGTTAGATATTCAGAAAACTGCATCGCACATGAACCTATATGAAGAATTGTACAGATACATTTATGGATAGTTTAACACCTGGAGACTTGGTTAAAGTTCATACATGCACTCATCAGTAAAAAGGAGAATCTGAGAGGTCTGTGGTTAAAACTATATTTCACTGAACCTTATCCCAAACACAATCACAAGGAAAATCATCAAATCAGATGTTATACATTTATTTTACAGTCAGTAAGATTAAAACAGAATCATACCAACACCAATGGAGCATGTTGTTGAAGTTTAGACTTCTGAGGTTTTCTCTAAAAACAAAGCTACAGTCTAGTTTGTGAACTACAGGTACTGGAATTGTCGTCCATTTGTACACTGTATACTTTGTAGCCTGTAAGTCAACATTCAGTATCCTCAAAAAACAGAATGAATGCTACTTCATTCCTCACCATCCTTCTGACAGGATGGACAAGAACATCTAAAAAAATAAAATCACTCAAAACACTAACTGTCCCAAAGAAATCAACATAGGATGATATATTTCAGAGTTCATTACATCAACTCCTCACTTTCTGCTCCCCCAACATATTATAGCAAATACATGGTAATACAAAAGATTAAAACATTCTAAAATCTAAATGTGAAAATAAAAATAAACTATAGTAAAACATGTAAAATATAGAAGTGTGTCAGTTTCAGGTACTATACTGGCAATATCGATGCATCAATAGCTAACAACAAGTATTCATTTGAGATGCAGCTAATTCAGTGGTTTAACATTTTCAATTTCCTAATGTTTGTATTTATCATTATACCTTGTGTATAATCATTTGTAAAGTAACTAGACTGAAGCCATACAAAAATAATGTTACAAATACAGGTAGTATAGTTCATCATAATAATGTTTTAAAAAAGTGATTTTAAAAATAAATGGAGGAGAAAGTTCCCAAAATGTAACTACAGTTCAGTATCTTGTGAGTTTGAAGCATTTTTTGGTATCAAATTGTGAAACATGGAATCCCATCCAATGTAATGTTACACTTGGTCCTAATGAAGCATAATATGTTCTTTAAATATATTAAACATGAACTATTTATGTTTTAAAGGAGTAATAAAGATGAACTCGGTTGGTGGCTAGATATAGTCCACGTTTTAGCTCATCACAGATTTTTTAATATTGGTGTATGACTATAATCAACAGGAATAGAAAAGTCTAAAGAGTTTAAAACTCGGGCAACTCTTGTAATAAAGACCAACTTATTGTTATCGACCAAAGGGCCTGGCTTGTGGTCTTCATTAGGGTTATTAAGAAACACATACAATGAACGTTTCAAGAAGAAATGAAGCAAATAATTACAAGGTTAAAGACATCCAGTAAAAACCATACACATATTAGCCAATGGGGCAGCCACACGTAGATGTGGTTGGTATGTGATCATGTGACTTCAGGTAAATTACATTTCAAAACAGGCAGAAGAAATGGGTGCGCCTAATAATACACCTGATGTAACAATACCTGTGTTATTATGACACATCTCATCTTTATTTCTATACCTATTAAAGTGAAGCCAAAGAGACGGTCATGTACATTTTGTCAGGTAAAAGAGAATATTTTTGATTTCTAATACGAAAAGTTAATAGGCAGAAACAAAGTTAGTCACGGTTTGCTATCCCTGCCAGTACAACTGATTTAGGAATATGTTATTAGGAATATCAAAAATGCTGAAAACACTACAGTCCTTGTCCAAAAACTCTTGATCAAGGGGAATAAAACGTTGAGCAAGGCTGATGCAATCTCATCTTAAACCGATCCAGTTATAAATCTGCTGTCTTCAGGTTATAACCATATGCACACACATTTTATGTTTCCTGTAACACAATACAAACTAAAAGATTAAGTCCAAAAAGCATTACATATGGAGTTTTTTGAAAAAAAATGTATATCATAGCCATTGTTCCTAGTCCCTCATTCTGGTTTGCAACTATTGCCTAACTTTCTGTAGTTCAGAGCTCTACTCAGACTTTAGGGAGAGTACAAAGAAGAGTAGAAAAAACTACTTACAAAGTTTATGTATGATGTCTTCTTTGAGTCTTTAAAATAATTGATCTCTCCAAACTCAACCACACTCGATCTCTTTTGCCGTTTGAAATTAGGAAGTTCTGAGCACAACAGTCCCTCCTCGATTTTATTTGTTCTCCTTCCTTTTCAGAAGCTTGTTTTTTGTTGCTAAAGGTACAATTCAAGCCATTTAAGAATTAAAATGCTTACATAACATGCCCTTTATTACATTTAACCTGTTGTGGAAACATGTCTTGATCAAGGTGATATGAAACAAATGAGATAAATATCGCTGTGACACTAATGTCACATCGGGACAGTACATTTGGAGTGACACATATGCACAATTAGAAATATTATTATGATCTGCTCAGTTAATTTAGATGATTCAATGATATTTAGTTCCTCATTAATTAAGTTATATAATAGAGTTACTTTACCATTAACGCCCAATGTGACATATATGTCCTTTTTCAGATCTTTGACACGGGGGGGGGGGGGGGGGGGGGGGTTAGGTTTTAAACTCACTGGCACTTGTCTTATTTACTACATATTATGGGGGTGAAACTGAGCAGCAGGCTTAACATCATCGTATATAGTAAACATCGATGGGCTCAGAACAGTCTCATAATACACACATGCACACAGAAGGATTCACACTTGTATTTCCGGATCCACACTTGTGTTTTTCAATGCACACACAAATGTGTTCCGTTTCATATGTACATAAAATCCAATTACAGACAAATATATGTATTTTTTGTATTTTTGATCCACACATATTTGTTTTCCATTTAAAACCTCTGCACCTGCAAACACAAACAGCTTTCTGTGCACGGATCGCTGTGCATTCGTGTGTGGGTTTTTTGAGACTCCCCTGACGATCACCCGATTCGTACTTGTAATTGTTTCTATCTATGGAGAGGCGAAGTCCCTCCCCTTCCGACAGCCTCCATGGGACCCCGGAAGCGGAAAATTATACATTGAAGTCAATGGAGAGAGAAAGGTTATCTTTTGATCCCGTTTGAATTGTGCCACGAATGACACATATGATGTTTGTCAATTTAAAAGAACATTTTGCAAGTAAAAAAAATAAAAATGTGTCGTAAAACTGTGAAGTTACAATTTTTTTTGCGTGAAACCGCTCAGTGAACTACAGGTCTCTGGTCTCGCACAATACGCGTCACCAACATAAAGATGGCCGTCACGTTAGCACATTTCACCACATTCTTTCAGAATGAGAATACAATTATTTTACGAGGTGAAAATCACTACAAGTCTGGGCACGTTGAGAGCTGTACCTATATGAAAGGGGAGTTAGTCGGTTCTGTAAGAGCCAGCATTCGGGACCGGCTTTACAAGGTTTCGGTGAGTAATATGAGTGCAATGTTTAACGTTAATGTCAGCTAGCTAACATTAGCTAACAAGGTACACTAACGTGTTTTGTTTTAGCAACTAGTTTTCTCCTTAAGAACTTCGTGGTCTCTGTGTATGCTGTGGATAACATTAGTGTTCACAAGAACAAGGTACACTCCCGTGTTTTGTTTTAGTTGCTCTTCAGATTGAAGCGGCCAGTTTTATATCGACTATACTGTATGTGTGATCTCCTTTTTCTCGTTGTGTCATTTGACTTTATTTGCTGTGTGTAGATTCAAGGATTTTGGTTATCTAGGCACAGCTGTGTGTGACTCCCTCTGGTACACTGGTATGTGTTTTCCTAATGTAGAGAGCATTGATTAATTAATAAACTACACACTGAGTCTAGATCCTGACCAAATCCTTTTTTATTGTTGATCAAATGTTTTTCAAAAATGTATTCATACACATTTAGAAAAATACAATGTACAATCACAACCAATACAACACAAATTACAAAAAATACAGAAAAAACAAACAACAACAGACAAGAGGACAAAACTATGGAAAAATAAACCCTCCCACCCCCAGATCCGGACCATCCTTGTATTATTGCTCATTCAATCTATTATAGCATGCTAACAAATGGTACTTACTTTATTTTTACAGATCTGCATGGGAGACGATGGCGCGATGCAGAGCGCTGTCTGTGATTGTGCACAGGAG